CTTCAGGGGCAGAAGTTACAGGTTCTGGGGCGGAATCACATGACTGACAGCTGCGGGTATCACGCAGCGCGTGTATGGGCCCAGCCCATTACATATCCCCTCCCTTCCTGAGGTGAGCAGAGAGAATAGTACTCCGGGCTGTTGACTTTATACGGGCAGGTTCTGGTGTAGACGGGGTGCGTCGGGAGACAGGGCAGTCACTAATCCAATGATCATCTGCTCCACAGCAGAGACAGAGGTCATTCTCAAGGCGGTGTGCGCGGCGGCTGGTAGATGAGCTGGTAGATAAGGCAGAACTAGGTCTGGCTAGGTGGACGCGGGCAGGATCGACGTCCATCGGTTCTGGGCGGGCTGGCTTCGGGTACTGGTTCAGGTGCTGGTTCTGGGGTCGTCTGGCGCGACGGTCATAGCTCTGTACGAGCTCAACGTACTCAGGGTACTGTAGGCCAAATATGGAGTCGTTTGACTCCTCTAGGAACTAGCGGAGCGTTGGGCGGAGTCCTCAGTGCAGGGTAGTGACCCGACTCACGTCAGGCCAGGTGGTCGCCTTAGCTTCAAAGGCAAGGCGTTCAAATCGGGCGAGGTAAGCGATGAGGGACTCATCCTCACGCTAGCGGACTAGGGAGAAGCGCTGGATTACTTCCTGCTGCTCCCTAGGGTTGTGATAGAGACGCTGGAAGAAGGAGAAGATATCTTCTGGGTCCCAGGACTAGGTATCTTCGGATTGCTAGCGGAGGTGCAAGACAGAGGCTTACTGGGGCTGTTCTAGCCGGTCCCATACGTAGTCAAAGGCGTCAGCTCCAGTAAGCTGATTAGACCTTAGCTTCGCTCTAATAGAGGGGAGCCAGGTACGTAGGGAGAGAGGCTTCCCATCAAAGCGGGGCGGATCAGGGAGACGGGCGCGAGTCGCAGATCGGGTCTGGATCTAGAGCTGGTGTACGTCGGTACGTGCGGCGGAAAGGTCAGCTCGTAGCTACTAGATCTCAGAGCGCTGGTTCTGTAGCTCCTACTAGAGCTGCTGGATAAGCAGGTATACTGGGTTAGGCTGGCTGGACATAGCTGAGAGAGAAAAAACTGGGGTCTGGCGGGCGGGTTTGAGCAATCAATATGTAAGGGGCTAGGCCCCGATAGCAACACACGATGATGGTGCCCAGAATACTGGTCCTAAGAGGAGCATGAGAACAGGGATTGATTGCTAATGAGCTATCGAGAGGGAGCGATCAAGCTATATAGGCAGAGGCAGAAGAGGATTGGCATGTTCGGGCCGAATACTGATAGGGATCTTTAGGGGCAGAAGTTACAGGTTCTGGGGCGGAATCACATGACTAACAGCTGCGGGTATCACGCAGCGCGTGTATGGGCCCAGCCCATTACACTTAACGTCTAAGTAGGCGAAACGACACTAGGTTATAGAGTAGATTAGGGTAGTATACCATATTATCTAGCCTAATTATACTATTACCGTGTATACTCTTTAAATGTATATGGACGCTACTGTATCCTTATATCCAAACTTGCGTATTCCTAGCCCATATGAAGTTACCTAGCCTTGGTGGCCGTAGTGCGAGAAATCGATTAACGTTATTGAAGATATGGCAAGTTATGCCCAAGTTAAGGATTGCTAAGTTATGGAGTGGATATATATTTGGCTTAGAGAGAGTTGCTATATTAAAGCTTATATAGACCAATATAACTTTATAGCTATCTAGTTACTTATTGCTTACCTCTATTAATTAGGTTGGCGTCGGCGTATGGGACTATTTAATATAAGGTGTTTGTGTTCATAATCTACTTTAACCTTAAATTAGCCCTTAAAACGTGCTATTATGCTTACGTTTAAGCTTAATTAGTTCACTAATAGCTAGTCTTGGTTTCCACCATATAGGTACTAGTTCCTTATAAAGGTAAAAGTAGTCTTTGGCTACATGGCTTTATTTACACGCTGGGCATGGGCCTATAGTGTTTGAAGGTTCATTATATAATAGCCAAGAGGTCCTATGTGGATACGCTCTCTTTCGTTTTAAGGGACGTCCCTTGGATGGCACGTATTCAGCATAAGAGGCGTCCCTATTATTACCCTAAGTAGTTTTACTACTATTAGCGAGAAAGGCTCTATTAGTTATAAAGGCCGCTTTGTGCTTACTCTTTATGCTAGGGTGGTTTACCATTATATGCTCTTAGAACCATTTTATTATCTCCTTTCTAGTCATGCCGGCAGCGTATCTACTATAGTCTTGGAAGGCTGTAGCCTATATAGGTGCCACTTTATTAATAGCTACTAGAAAGTCCTTTATAATCACATTTAGTTGCGTTACTTTAGTGACCCTATAGGTCTCCACTTCTATAGCTGCCTAATTATATTTAGTAAGCCAGGTTTCCTATTAATTAATACTTCTTATTACTTTTAGAGCTATAAGATATCTATCTCTAGTATGCTCTTATTCGAATTACTTATTAACGCCGGCAGTAAGCTTAAGACTTATAACCTATTAGTAGAGTGACTAATTAGGTAGATAGTATATACGCTAGAGGTGTTTTACCACCATTAAATAGATAAACGTGATAATATACTAGATACTTATCTACTCCTTCTTATATTCGTGTTAATCACTCTTATACTATTTATGATAGATCTTATAGTACTTAAGGTCCTCCTTAAAGGCCTTCTATCTGGCTGTTAATAGCTTAGACTATCACACTAGTATCTTAATATTGGCTACTAGGGCGTAGTTTGCAATAACTAGTACTTAGATAGCTACTAGTTATATAATTAGTAGAGTTACTAAATTAGGGTTAACCTTATCCTATAGGTTATATATAACGTAGCGTGCCTACAGCTATATATACTATCCTATAAAGTCGTTATAATTATAGAGCGTTATCTCTACGCACTAAGGGGTTAATTGGGCCGTCATGGTTAATTAGTATATTGGTTGAGGTAGTAAGACTCTTAATTATTAGATTTATATAGTGATTTAATAGATGTCGGTGATCTAGAGATGAGATGAATTAATTGATTATTATTATATACGTGTATTCTACCAGCTTTTATTAAGTTCCTATTAACTATCCCTTGCTTCGGGGCTGGGTGTTCAGCAAGGGTGGATGGCTAGCTATCCCTACTACCTGCCCGGAGTACTGTCCGTACTAAGGCAACTTCGTAGGCCCTTATCTAATAA